GTTCGCAAGTATTTTATTTTGTTTATCCCAATCAAGTAGCTTCGCTTATTGGATGGAATCTTTAGACGCGTGGCGGATAAGAGCAACGCTAAAAATCTTCTGCGCTTTACGTATGGCTCACAATGCATTTGTATTACCTTTGCATCTTTGCCCTTCGTCTTCCTATGTTTTTTGTATTTCTCCCCTACCTACTATTGTTTGTGTTTTTTCTATAATAATAGTGGGATGGTGGCGTGGGGAAGGGAGTTGAATTTGACAAAGTTTGGGGATAAAACAAAAGGTGGGAAAGAATTAGGGAGGGAAATTGCAATATAAGAAAGTAATGAAGATGAGAGGTTGTCAAGGGAAGAGGAGAGATAAGGAGATAAATGGGAGAGAGCCACACAACTTGTTTTTGCAACTAAGGCCACACGAGTGAACGCTGAATCCAAACTATCTCTCGCTCTCTTGTGATTTGTTGTTGTTTAGGATTATTGCACTAGATGACACAAAATACAAACTATAACTAGGTAAATAGCTACTGAATGCATAATTTAGATGTTTGTTCGTTTGGCCACAGGATTTGTATGTTTAAATTGTTTGCGTAAAAAAATTGATTTTTTAAACCTAACGTCACTTTTGAATTAATCATTGATGTGGGCATTGTACTAAAGGAAGAACAAGGTATGGAAACACACCAATCTAAACCACACCATATACTAGAAAGGAGTGTAGTTGAGTGAAGATAAAGTTTTGTCCAACAAACTTGGAAAGATGGCCGAAGGAAAACAAGTTTTGATCTAGAGCACGCACCATCTGGTAGAAGAATCACGTACCAAGGACGAGAGGAAACTACATGCGGACCATATCCAAATATTGAAGTCTACATGTCCAACCACAGAAGGTCTGGCCCAATATTGACATGTTTCACCTATTTGGGTTTTTCATTGATCCAAATTATTCAAGATCCGACCCATGTCCTACTAGATTCACCACATGCCTTCAAATATCTGCATCGGACTAGGAGTTACTCAAAGAAAATTGTGTGGTTGAACAAAAAAGGATTTAGGGTGGCGTTCTTGATAAATTAGAGTAGTTTTTATCTATATTTGTCCTTAATGCATGTTTTTAATTTGGTGAATTAGAGCTTGATATTAGTATGATTTCCGCTTGCATACTACTTAAGTTCTCGTTTCAATTTGATGTTTGATAGACCTAGCCTTTTAATCCGCTAGAGTTAAGTTATTGAGTGAGGTGAACAATTGAATGCTTGTTTAATTAGTTATTGGCAGCTGAGAGTTGGTTAAAAGGATAATTAGGCATGGTTAAATATCAGCCACGAGAATGGATTAATTATAGAACAGTACTTTGAGTTCTAGGGTGAAAGAAAACAATATCAATTACCTCTAGAAATAAATCTTGAATAGTTCAAAGTATAAATCACTATGAATAACCTGCATGTCCAATGCTTTAATATTCTTGCTTTATATTGTTTTCAACTTACAACTTTTAAAGATTGATCAAACAAAAAAAACTTACAACTTTTAAAAATTAGCAATTCACCACCCCAAAATTTAATTTGATTACCTTTTATTCTTAGGGCAGCTTTAATTATTGTTCACACAAGTATTTGGAGATTCGATCCTTAAATATTGCAATTGATTTGATCCTTAAAATTTGAAGATGGCAAAGGACGTCCATATACTAT